AAGGCTGAGGAGCTGCATTTGGTGAGGGTCCACTTGCTGGTGGGGGCTGTCTGCCTGAGCAGACACAGAGCATCGCATGGGGAGGCAACTGAACGTTCCAGCTCAGGTCTCTCTTCTTCTTATAAAGCCATCATTCCTGCTCCCATAATAACCCATTAATTCATTAATCCATGGATGGATTAATTTATTCATGAGGGCAGAGCTTCCACGACCTAATCATCTCTTAAAGGCCCAGTTCTCAATACCGCCACATTGGAGGTTAAATTTCACCATGAGTTTTGGAAGAGACAAATGTTTAAACCATAGTGGAGCTCATGTATCATGTCCCTGCAAGGTGGCTCCCCAGGGCTGGTACCATTTGGAATTCCTGCAGAGCAGCCAGTCCCCCAATCTCATGTGATGCCAGGGTTGCCCTGCCCTGCAGTGCTGAGCAAGACCAGAGGTGCAGACCTGAGATGCAGGCAAGCCTGGGGGTGGTTGAAGTCTTCCTGTGATGGTTCATGTGGCTACGTGTGCTCAGGTTTGTGCTCCCTTTTTGAGCTGGCCAAAGATGCAATGACCTTCAGGGTCTCTCCAAACAGTGGGCTGCTGAAGGTCTGGCCTACCAATGCACCCCCAACCTCCATCACCTTGTAGTATTCACTGCCAGTTACAGACCCTCCCAGAGTCCCCCACACTGCCCACAGAGCCTGGACCCCTGCCCAGGGCCCTTCCTAACCTGCTACTTATAGGAGCAATGAGTCCACATTGGTGGTACAAGACGTGTTTGGCAAGAAGGCCTGCACCCTGTGGTTCTGGGGCCAAGGTTCTTATGATGACAAGAGGTACCTGACCCTCACCAACTCTGAGGCTCTGCCCCATTTTTCAGTCCCAGCCCACAGCTGTGGAATAAACATGGCCCAGGGTGGAGGAACAGATCTGCTGGGCAGGGGGCTGTACCGGGTCACAGACCAGGTGGTGGGGTGGAAAGTGGAGAGCGGATAATCTGGCACCTCAGGTCTCCAGCTACTCTAGAACACCCCTGGGATGGAGGAGGCTCTTTTCCAAAAGGGCAATATTTGATACAATTTAATATCAAAAGGAGAAGAAAAACTCCTGGAAAAATAGAAACAGTAAAACACTTCCTTAATCTGATCATGGCCATATACAACACCACACACTTACGAAAACCATCATGCAGTGTTGAAATGGTGAGCGATTTCCCTTAAAATCAGTCAAGACAAGAACGCCTGCACACGCCACTTCTCTTCCATGTCGTACAGGAGGAACTAGCCAGTACAGCAAGGCCAGGAAGAGAAATATAAGACAAACATCGGAAAGGAAGAGACACTATTTACTACACCTGTAATCTGAGCACTTCAGGACGCTGAGGCAGGACCACTTGAGCCCAGGAAATCGAGGATACACTGAGCTATGATTGCACCACTGCATTTTGACTTAAGAAAGAGAGCGAGACCCTGTCTTTAAAAACAAATAAACAAAAACACATTAAATGATTTATGTACTCATGCATATAGTCTTCTTCAATTAAAAAGTTTAAAAGATTACTGTAAAACTATCAAGTGAAATAAAACTTAGGGCAACAAGCATTAATAGAGACGGGGAAATTGTATTTAATAATAAAAGAAAAGGATCAAGAAATTCAGTCCTTCTTGGGTGGCATCTTATTCTGATTTTACTTCTACATTATGGTTTTAATTCAGCCACTATGGTGGTCATTTATAGGGTTTATGGGTGTCATTTTCCAAGTTTGTGTCTTAGGAGTTATGTGACTATCTCTGAACGTTTTAAACAAAGTCTTTTAAGAAAGAACGCTATCACCACTAGTTCACTGATGAACTCCAGTGTATTTTTTCCATTTTTATGCCATTTTATTTCTTCATGTGCTCAGCAATTTTTACTTAAAATTTCATTTTCACTGAGATTCATCTTCCGTAGAAAGCCCTGTAAGTCCTGAGTTACTGTGGCAACCTTACCGTGAATTGCTTCAGTGTTTGTTTCTTCCAGGACCTTAAAGATTCACAAGTGTTTAGTTTGTTTCTCGGCTTGGGGCTTGCATTCTTGGGGGGGCTGAGTTTTCCTGGGGCCTTGCCTATACCAAGCTGCTTCACACTCACCCCGTGCGCCCCCTCAACACGAGCTCAAAGCCTTTGGAAAACTGTGAGCAGCATCCCACATCAAGGGTGGGGGATGAAAGAGGACAAGAAGCTGCTGCCACATTTAGGCCAATGCTTGAGCAGTGGTAAAAATATACAAACAGCTGAGAGAAGCAGATGAGAATTCCACAAAGGCCAGTGGTCAATGACCAGGAAACAAGAGCTCCAGAATTCACAGGCATCCGTGGATACCATCACAACCTGCAAGGTTACTGACCTCTCTCTCTCTCTCTCTCTGCACAGGGAGGCCCCTGCCGACATGTCTATCATAAAAATATCACATGTGTGAGAAAGAGAATTTATTAACGATATACAATTTCATACAATTTTGGCACTTAGGTATTACACCAAGACACCTGTGTGATAAGAATGATGTGTGAGAACAATAAAAGGAATGTTCTAGTCTAGTGCTGTGTAATAGAACTATAACGTGAGACACAGACGCAAGTCGTGTATAGTTTTAAAATTTTTGGTAGTCACATTTCAAAACATTTTTTTTTTTTGAGGCAGAGTTTCACTCTTGTTACCCAGGCTGGAGTGCAATGGTGCGATCTCGGCTCACTGCAACCTCCGTCTCCTGGGTTCAGGCAATTCTCCTGCCTCAGCCTCCTGAATAGCTGGGATTACAGGCATGCGCCACCATGCCCAGCTAATTTTTTGTATTTTTAGTAGAGATGGGGTTTCGCCATGTTGACCAGGATGGTCTCGATCTCTTGACCTCGTGATCCACCCGCCTTGACCTCCCAAAGTGCTGGGATTACAGGCTTGAGCCACCGCGCCCGGCCTCAAAACATTTTTAAGAACAGGTGCAATTCATATATACCATGGAATACTATGCAGCCACAAAAAAAGAATGAGTTCATGCCCTTTGCAGAGACATAGATGAAGATGGAAACCATCACCCTCAGCCAACTAACACAGGAACAGAAAATTAAACACCGCATGTTCTCACTCATAAGTGGGAGTTGAAGAGTGAGAACACATGGACACAGGGAGGGAAACATCACACATTGGGGCCCGTCAGGGGGTGGGAGGCTAGAGGAGGGAGAGCATTAGGACAAACACCTAACGCATGCAGGAGTAAAACCTAGATGATGGGTTGATAGGTGCCACAAACCACCATGGCACATGTATGCTTCTGTAACAAACCTGCACACTCATGCATCCCAGAATTTAAACTAAAATTAAAATAAGTAAACAAATAAGAATATGTGCAATTAATGTTAATGTTTTATTCTCTCGATGCATCCAAAATACGCCATTTTTATATGTGATCTCCATAAAAATACTAATGAATTGTTTTATGTTTTATTTTGTACTAAGCCTCTGAAATCCAGTGATTTTTTTTCACAGTCACAGCAAATCTCAAATCCAACTAGCCACACTAAGCCCTTGATACCTACGTCTGGTTAGTGGCTGCTGGATGGGACAGCACGGGTCTAGTCTATGAAAGCACATACTGTCAAACTCTAAGTAATATTAGCCATTGCTTCAGTAAGCAGCCAGGTAGCTCCTATCTGGGACTGACTGAGACGCCCTGGCCACCTGAGGAAATGGAAAGTGGGCAGAAGTGCCGCTGGTCCTGCTGGCAGCCGCAGCCTGCACGGCCAGCTCCTGCACACCCGCACTGCCCCATCAGCCTTCTGTCCTGACCCCTCTCTTCCTCCTGTTCCCTGTAGCATTGGCTGTTTCCTGGCAAAGCAACTTGAGGTGTTTAAATGTGGCTAATCTGTTGGCATCACAGCTCACAGGCAGGTCTATGCCAGAAAAAGCTACAGAGACTGTTCAAGCATCCCGTGGTCCTATGAGCAGACACTTGTGAGATCTCTTTATGTGACCTTCAAACCCCACTTCAGAAACCCAGTTTCCGAATACTAGGAAACCAAGTTAAGAACAGTGGGCACAGAAAATGACACTGAAAGGGGAAGGCGTGTGCACCAGCTTCTTGGTGTCCCAAAGCTTGGGAGCACAGGCCCAAAGCCATGTGCTGGGCTAGACCACTGGGAACACTGGAGGCTGCTTCCTGCTTCACTGCACCCTAACCTGCCTGGGAGATCCATGGCCTTGCTGCCCTGGATCCATGAGAACTGACATGCTTATGTCTTCCTCCCTCAGAGGCTACGAGGAGTCAAACCAGAGCGATTCTCTGCAAGCCCATGATCTTCCAATAAACTAGCCAAGAGTAGAGGAGGTAAGACAAGCCCCAACTCCTCTCCCAGGGAGACAGGAGGTGGTGCTGAGGGTCTGACCTAAGGACTTCACGGTCTGGTTGAGGAGTCCTGGGTCCTGCCTGGCAGAGCACCCATGCCAGCGGGGAAGGGCAGAATCCCCTGCAGGGCAGTTGGGATGTTAGCTGCAGTATGGGGGCTTATTCTCAGCGTAGTGGAGGCCAGAGGTCAGCTAGGGTAGAGCCATCAGGGAAGGCATCCCCAGGGATGTGGACTGATTTGGGTAATTCCCAAGGCCATGCTTATGTGCAGCATCAGCAGAAAGACGGTGAGAAAGCCCCGTGCAATGGGACAAGTGGGAGAAGTTTACATCCCATGCCTGCCCCGACTAATGCATGAAATGGAGCTTTGAAATCTGTCCTCAGCCTGTGCTTCAGGTGGAAACCTGCTGTGCTAGAGGTTGTGTGGGCTCGCAGGGACGGGTGGCGTGAGGCACAGTCCTGCTCCACCTCTGGCCCTCATAGACCTTGCCCTCCCCACTCCTCTGCCCACTTCCAGAGATCTTCTCCCTGTCCCTGAGCAATTAGCCGAAGACACTAAGGAGTCTGTCTAACCCACCTCCTCCAGGCCAGGGCCTCTGCATTCTCCAGACACGGCCAACTTTGATCCAACCAGCTCAAGACCAATATCATACCTTTATTGGAATGAATCACAGCAGAGCTCCCGCAGAAGGGGGGCCATTCTTTCTTTTTAATATCAAGGGCTGCCCGGGAGCAGGACTAACCCTGCCCCTCTGACTAAACTGGGCCTGGAATCCACAAGCCCATGCTTGGCCACTCAATTCCAACCCAAGATGGTCTGGGGGCCTGGCCCTCAGGGAGCCCAGCTGTTTGCTTCCCCTTCATTGAATCGCCCCAAGGCAGTGCTGGAGACAGGGTGTGTGTCCAGTTTCAGGATCTGGGCATTGAGAATGCCGTTCTTAGCCGCTTCCTCAGACACATCATCAGATGACGTAACCTCAGTCGTCATGTCCTCGACCTTATTCCTGAAAGAACCATCAGTGGCTAAGTCCAGGGCCACATCTTTCTGGAAGCTGAGGAAAGCAGCAGCTCCTGCCTTCAGCAGCGCCCAGCCCTGAAGCAGCACCCAAGAGGTGGGGCGTTCTCACGCCAGCAGGTCCCCAGCCGAGCTTTGCCAGGAGCCTCCAGAATCAGGCCTGCTCCGTCTCCCAACCCCCAGGAGACCCTTCTCTTTCTGGCTTTGAGGTCGCTCCACCATCTTCACTGCCAGCATTCACTGAGCACTTGGCCATATGCCAGACCCAGTGCCAGCTGCTCTATGTAGGTTTAATCCTCTCAAACAAAATCCCATGGGAGAGGACAACTGGCTGCATGGCCTTACCTCTCTGTGCCCCAATGTTCTCATCTGTAAAACGGGAATCGTAACAGGTCCTACCTTGCACTGGATTGTTTTGAGGACAGAGTGAGATAAGGCACATATACCACAGGGTCTATATGCAAATGCTCAGTGCAGCTCAGCCATCGTCACTACTCTGTTCTCATTCCACTTTGCAAATGACGAAACGGAATCTCAGAGGTATGGGTAACTTCTCCGTGCACACAGTAGGAGGTTGCAGCCCCCGGAGCCTGTGCCCATAACCACTGTCCTTTCTCCCTGCGTGGCGCCGAACTTCCTCTCTCTACAGTGGGGCAAATTTCTATTCAGCCTTCAAAGCCCTACTCAGATGTCACTGCCATTTTCCCCGATTCCCCAAATTAACATTCTTCCCCTGTTAGGCTCCCAGAGGTCCTGTACACCTCACAGGCAGAGTCCACCAGTGGCAGCTGTTTGCACTGTCTGTCTCCCCATAAGCTACGGCTTGCTCAAGGCTGGGGAGCACTGACCTCTGACATCTGATAGTCAAGCCGGGGCATAGCGCCTAGCATCTGTGGTTCCAATGAGAGCAGGGAGGGAGGGAGGGAGGAAGATGGCAGGGACGAGGGCAGAGGAAGGCAGAGGCAGTGCCTCCTGTGGCAAAGAGCAGAGGACACTCCAGGGCCTCCGGCAACCTCTGCTCCTCACTCAGGTCCCCTTAGGTCCAGGGAGAGCGTATTTACTTTCCCAAATCCCAGAGGGGACGGTTCTGCCAATCATGACAAGTCTTCTCCAGGGGACACTTGGGAGATCAGAGGCCAGAAGTGCCCATGGAAGTGTTGGGTGGAGCTCAGTTCCCAAATGGGGTCCTGGGCTGCTGGGGCCAAGAGGCCAGAGTGCTTCATCGAGACTGGGTTTTGGATGAGGAACCAGGAGTTCAGACAGGACAGGGATGTACAGAGTCAGTTCCAAGCCAGTATCCTGTACCGGGGAGGAGACGGAGCCTCTGGGAGGAGTGCCCCGGAGGGCATGCCCAAAGTCAGTGCCCCCATCCAGACAGGCAGTCAGGGCCCAGGCCAGGTCAGGAGGGCCAGCAGGATGCGAGCTGGCAGAGGCTGGGTGGGAGCAGATAGGCGGCAGCAGCCAGAGGAGCGGGGAGACTGCTGTGGACATGGCAGCCTTCAGGTCACAGGCTCTCCAGCAGAGGGGCGGGGATGGACAATGCCTCACATGCTGTCCGTGCCACGAGTTCAGAGCCTGGCACAGCCCAGGAGCCTCCCACACCTACCCCATCTGTGAGGAGTGGTCCAGGCTGTCAGAGAGGCACTGATCTTGCGTTTCCAGCAGGAGGAAGGAGAGGGAAAAGCCGACAATGGCTGAGACGCAGCAGAAACAGATGGGCAGGAGGGAGAGGGTCTGTCTCATGGTTGTCAGGGACAACATGGCTCCGGCCGCCAATGCCAGAGACACCAGCCCCAGACCTGTTTCCCTGAAAGTGGAGGTGAGAGCTTCTATGAGGGGGTCTGTCAGGTCCAGAGGCTGGGCAGGGCCAGCAGCTACATGGAACCCCACACCCTCCTATCTCCACCCTGTCCCGCCCTCACTGTGTGATTCCAAGTAGGCAGTAATTTCTTCTGGGCCTCCTTCATAGGGGTGAGGAGGGGCGGTAGATCCATGCAGCAGTGTGTGGATGTGCAGGGAGAGGGCACAGGCAGTGATGCTGGGCAGGTAGGGAGACAGTGCTGCCATTGCCAACCTCAGGGAAGGATCTGAGCCCCCGAGTGGCCCAAACGCCTTCCAGGCAGTGAGTGCAAGGCAGGGGCTGGAGTCAGGCTCCCTGGGGCCAAATCCCAGCTCTGCCGCTTGCCCTGTCTGCCCTAGTCTTGCGTCTGAAAAACTGTCAGCGATGGCATTTGGGGGTTTTCTGGTGGGGTTAAATGCGATAATTTATGTAAACTGCTTAGCACAGTGCTTGTCACCAGGTGAATGCTCGTCTTAGTTGCTGCATTAATCTTATCATTGTCAGTCCCCGCCCACGACCCCATACCTGAGCAGTGGGGAGGAGCTCCACAGTGTGGAGGAAGAACACCGTGGCAGTGGTGGCCAGGCTGACCTCTCCCAGCACGAGCACCAAGACCGTCACGGATTTCAGCCCTGCTGCCGACAACCTGAGTCTGAGGCCATCCTCCCCCGGGGCGGGTGAAGGGGACACGCCTATCAGCCCTCTGTTGGCATCTGAACAGCCTCCCCACCACCTGCCCAGCTGGTCAGCAGGCTCAGGCATTCCATCAGAGGAGGGGAGGCTGTCAGAGACCCAACCAGGACAAAGACAGAACATCTGCAGGGCAGAGTTGGTCGGCAGGGGTGGGGAGGTCCCCAGGGGCCTCTCAGGCCACTGTCTCCCATGCTACACCCAGTCCCCCCGTCTCTGCTCCCAGGGCTCTGTCTTCGTTGCACCCCCTCACCCAACTGCAGCTTGGGGATCCACTCCAGGCCAGGCCTGTGTCCTGTGGGCTGGGACCCTGCTCAGGCCTGTGCCACTGGGGCTCTGCAAGGTGGTCAGAGCAAGGGGGTGTTTGGTTCCTGGAGCCTGAGTGGCTGAGATGGGTCCCAAACATTCCAGGATATTCTCTGGCCAGCTAGACAGGCACAATGAAGGGAAGCTGGGGAAAGCCCATTCCTCAGACCCGGTGAAGCTGGGGCCTTCAGCCCTTGCCCACCTGCCCTGTCAGCCTCTGCAGGACCCTGCCCCAGCCTAATCCCATCCAGTCCTGGCTCATCTTGTCTCTGGGATGAAATCAGAGATCTGGTTTTATCTGCCCAGGAGTCCATTCCTAGTTTCTCTCACATGTCGAGTTTACATATTTCTGCTTGACTCAGTGCAGACCTGCTTTTTAAAAAACCAACCAGGCAATAAACATTTAATAATGAATTTGTTTCCACATTTTATGTTAGCCAATCCATGCTGCCAGCATCTGGGAATGGAGGGGTCCCAATCCAGACACACAATTCCAGCCCTGGCCCCCAGTTAGCCTCCCCTGGCCTTGCTGCAGCTGCGAAGGGCTCTGCAGGCAGTCACTCTAGGTGGGAGTCCACGGATCTAAGTGGGAGTCCATGGATCTGAGTGGGAGTCCACGGATCTGAGTGGCAGTCCACAGATTTAAGTGGGAGTCCACAGGTCTAAGTGGCAGTCCACGGATCTAAGTGGGAGTCCACGGATCTGAGTGGGAGTCCACGGATCTAAGTGGGAGTCCACAGGTCTAAGTGGCAGTCCACGGATCTAAGTGGCAGTCCACGGATCTAAGTGGGAGTCCACGGATGGCTCCAGCTCTGGGACTCGTGGTGCATCCATTGTTTAGAGCTCTTTTAAGATTCTGCAGATAACACCAGCCCTTCCTGCCTCCTTTCCTAGTGCTGAGTCTGCAGGAACAGGGCACTGAGCCCCCCTGGAAAGGAGGGGCCTGCATGCAAGAGCTGTTCCTGAGTGCTGAGCCCAACGATATGCTCCATTTTCAGTGGGCAGGTTATTCCTGGTGATGTTACAGATGACAACAGGCATTTCCCAGTCAAAGGGGCTACAGATGACAGGTGGGCCTGGGGCAGCAGTTGAAGGAGTGTTTCTGCCACCATTTATTCACATGTATTCACATGTATTCACATTAGACCTACTTCTAAGATGGATCAGAATCTGGTGGAAGAAGGCTGCCTGCTCTCCTCTGGAAAGCATACCCCTCTCTCTCAGGCCTCTGAGACAGTGTGGGTGCCCTGTCTGGGGGACCCCACCCAGGAGGTGTAGTGCTCCAGGGATTGGAGGTACCAGGGCCTCTGCAGGGCTGGCAGGCTACAGGTGCAGGAGGCTGACTCCTAGGCTGTCTAGGCAGTACTGGGGAGGGGTTTGGGGGAGCAGGAAGGCTGTGGGCAGCCCACAGGGGAAGGATAAGCTGTACCTTCAGGGAGGAAAAGGAGAACCAAGCACCAGATGACAGCTTGGAGGAGAGCCACAGCCAGGCTCCACTTCCTCACAGTCTGCTGCAGGAGAAAGAGGCAGCACAGCCGGGCAGGCACCTCCATGATGCCGGGGACCACATGTCTGAAGTAGAGGCTCACCCAGCTCCCTCATTCTCAGGATCAACGCAAAATAGGTGTAACTGACGGTAAACCTGGGTGAAGCCAGGAGGCATGTGCATGTATGCACACACACACACACACACACGTACACACACAGATACACATGCACATACACACACGTACACACACACACATATACATATACACACATACACATATGCACAAACACACGTGTACACATATACACACATACACAAACACACATATACACAGATACACACACATATATACACATACACACACAAACACAAACATACACACAGATACACAAACACATATACATACACGTACATACATACACACATATATACACATACACACAAACACACACATGTACACACATACACACACACACACACACGGAGGCAGGAATAAAGACAGAGGCAGAGCAGCGAGGGTCAGGGTAGGAACGGAGGAGAGAAATAAGCAGAGACTGTGCTCTGTGTCCTCGGGCTGCCTCCCCTCCCCTGACCATTCCCCTCCCTCCCCCGAGTTTCCAGCCTGAGTCCCGCTTCACAGTCCCTGCCAGCGAGCCCTGGATACTCACCACACACAGCCCATCACCAACGTCACCTTGCAGAGTTGTCTATTCTTACAGAAGTCCAGGACAGAGCTTAGTCACCTTCTTTCTGGGCAGCTGCAGCTACAGAGCAAGCAGGACCAGTCAGAGGCAGGACGGAGGCCCCAGCTTGGTCCGCAGTCCCACAGCACCCATAGGCCTGCCTGCCCCTGAGAGTGCCAGCTGGCTTCTGGCCTTCCCCTGGCAGGATTCAATTTTGTTGTCACCATTGTCCTTAGGCAGTGGGTTGGGGTTCCCTCTGGACCAACGTCCCACCTGAAAGGATGAGGAGGGAAGGGCCCTTCCATACCCACTGCTCCAGCCCCACCCCTGGCCAGAAGCCCTGTACCTTGTTCAGCAGATTTGCAGAAATGGTCTTCTTGCTCACACCTGCTGCGTAGCACCTGCTTGGCCTCCTTCACCTTCCATCATCAGCCACCGAGGGACTGCGGGAGAATCCTGCGTGGCCAGCCCCTCTCTTATCTCATCATTCCATGATGCCCAGAGACCCCTGCTGGCCCTCTCCTGGCCTCCACTGTGGACATCCTGTGCCAGCAGGAGGTGATTTGGATGTCAGGGCCTTGAAGGCCACCAATGACCTCCAACTGCCCTCTGCTCCTCCCTAGTGGTCAGCCCTTCCCCTGTCTAAGCCTCACACGGCCCCCGCTGCTGCTAGGTGACACCCTGACCACCAGCTGCCTCTGTCTACGGCTCTTTTATTCGCCCTCAGTCATCAGAGTTCTCTCCTTTTTTCTCTGGGGAGACTCCCCGTCTGCTGAGGCATGCTGAGGGCTCCAGCCTCCATGCCCGTCGCCTCCAGTGAAGCCTCCGTGCTCATAGCTGGGCTTTCTCCTGTTCCCTGTCTGTTTCTCCAGCAGCCTTGGGAGAGTGAGGGGCAGGACCATGGGTCTGGGTGAATGGAGGGTGAGTGAAGGTCTCTACTCTGCCCCATCTCTCCCTGCCACATCCCTGCTGCCTTTGACCTCAGAATAACTCTGTTTTTTTCCCATCTCTCAGTCAGAATTCACACAAATTTAAAAAGCCCTTACATGTGAGGAATGGTGCTCGGTGCCCTCATGTATACACTCTTGTTTAGTCCTCTTCCAAACCTGGACCTAGTGTGATTATCCCCATTTTTCTCCCAGCCTCGAGGGGCAAGGCCTTGCCCAAGGACAGAGAGACAGAGCAGTGTACTTGGGGACTGGTATAGCCTCAGTCCCCTAAGGCGGGGTAACTTTTTTATAAAACTGTGCTTGCTGATTTCTTATACCAGCATTTCCTCCCTGACCAGGACTCCGACTGGTTGCCATAAACACACACGCAGAACACTAGAAACAGCTTCGTTCCTTATACCTGCCCTGCTCCTCCCCCTCCCACCAGGGTTCAGCAATCAGTCATCATTGTCCATGCTAAGGCTGTGGAAGTCTCCTAAAGAAAGCCATTACACTGGGACTTCAAAAAGATGGGGGATTCGCCCCATGCCCACTGAAAAAACAGGAAGAAAAAAAGGTTACCAACTCTCAAGGACACAACGGGAGAGATGTAACAAACGCACTGAAGCCCAAACGTGGGTGGAGTTTCTGACAGTCAGCAGTGCTATTGTCTGAGTGTTTGCGTCCCTCAAAATTCCTACTGCACGATAACATAATGACATCAAGAGGTGGATCTTCAGGAGGTGATTTGGTCATGCGGGCTCTGCCCTCGTGAACGGGATTACTGACCTTATAAAAGAGGCTTAAGGGAGCTCGTTTGTAGCCTTCCACCCTGTAAGGATACAGCAGAAGGCACTGCCTCGAGGGCCCTCATCAGACACTAAATCTTTTGGCGCCTTCATCTTGGACTTCCCAGCCGCCAGAACTGTGAGCAACAAATTTCTGTTGTTTATAAATTACCCATCCAAGGCATTTTGTTACAGCAATTCGAATGGACTAAGACAGAAATTCGTACCAAGAGTGGAATGTTGACCTAACAAATGTGTAAATGCCTTTGGAACTGGGTAATGGGCAGAAGCTGAAAGAGTTTGGAGGTGCACACCAGAAAAAGCCTGCGGAGCCAGGAATGGTGGTTCTAGTGAAGGCTCGGAGGAGGAGCAGTATAAAGAAAACCTCGATCTTCTTCGAGGTTCCCTACGAGGTCATGAACAGAATGTTGATATAAATATGGACAATAAAGACATTCTGATGAGGTCTCAGGTGCAAATGAGGAACACATTAAAAACTGGAAAAATGGCAATCCTTGTTACGAAACGGCCAAGGACTTGGCTGAGCTGTATTCGTGCCCTAGTGTTTGTGAAAGAAGGTACTTGTCAGTGATGAAAGAGGACATTTGGTGGAGGAAGTTTCTAAGCAAAGTGTTGAGGGTACAGCTCCTCTTGACCACTTACAGTCAAATGTGAGAAGAGAGAAGCAAATTAGAATTTATCACCAACAGGAAGGCAGAAAGGAAAGCTCTGGAAAATGCTCGTGTTGAGCGTGTTGTTTATTCACTTTCCACATACAAAAACGTGTGTTTGGGAGAGAACGCCAAGGATGCGGCGGAGCGGATGTTCGATCAGGAGGCCAGTGTAGATCAGTGGAGGCCACTAAAAGAATGACCCCAAAGATACGTTACAGATCATCGGTTCTGCCCCTCTCATCACAGGCCCACAGTGACAAGGCCTAGGGGACACACTATGTCAAAAGAAGGACCTTGAGATCCCCAGTAAACTGGTGTTCTCTCCTAAGGGACTACCAATAGAGGCTGGAAATCCAGTTCCTGGAAGTGACAGGGTCCTGAATCTCTCCTCCTCACTCCCCACACAACTCTCATCTACTCGTTAGCTGAAGGGGAGTTCAAGAGAACTCCTTAGAGAGATGAGGGGACCGCCTTTGAAAAAGGACATCTGCCATCCCACTCTGGCTGGAACGTGCGAATTCAGAAACATGGAGGCTTGACCTGGTATTTCAGAGAGTAAGAGAGATTACAGAAGAGTTTATATGTGCCACCTGGAGTTTGAGGGCCTGCAGAAACCCAGAGAACGATGCCCATCTGTCATCTGGATATAATGAAGGCAGGAGGTTGGTGGGAGCTGCTCACCACGAGAGGGTGAAGGCTAGGGAATAGTGAGATGTTTTGGCCAAGTGGACCCTGCCATCTTAAAGGCACCCCATGTGCTAGGATGAGGAGACACCCTACAGAAAGAAGCTGTGGGGTGAACTGCCAGGGACAGGAGCCGAGGGAAGCCACAGAGTGCTGGGAGTGTTAGGAAACTCCAATGCTCAGAAGGCCCACGAATGGACCCAAGAGTGATGGCATTTGAGTATCTACCCTAGAGAGGACCCTGAGAGACTGTAACAGCCCCTGCCATGCCAGTCTTTGGTCTATTTTGTCTGACGTCCCCATTCCATGCCTAGAACCTGGAAAATCAGGACAAGGAGACAGGAGGAAGAAAATAGGTCAGAACAGACCTCATCCCCTTTGGCCACTATCCTGAGCAAGGGGCCAGGAACAGCCTGCGGATCTGATATAAGATTAAAGTTTTTCATTGAACTGGACTGAATTTTTTTCTGAGACAGGGTCTTGCTCTTTTGCCCAGACTGAAGTACAGTAATACAATTATAACTTACTGCAGCCTCGACCTCCTGGGCTCAAGTGATCCTCCCACCTCAGCCTCCCAAGTAGCTGGGACTACTAGCATGTGCCACCATGCCTGGTTAATTTTAAAATTTTGTGTAGTCGAGCATGGTGGCTCATGTCCATAATCCCAACACTTTGGGAAGCCAAGGCAGGTGGATCACAAGGTCAGGAGACTGAGACCATCCTGGCTAACACAGCAAAACCCCATCTCTACTAAAAATAAAAATTAAAAGAATTAGCCGGGCATGGTGGCTCACACCTGTAGTCCCGGCTACTCAGAGGTTGAGGCAGGAGAATCTCTTGATCCCGGGAGGCAGAGGTTGCAGTGAGCAGAGATAGCACCACTGCACCCCAGCCTGGACAACAAAGCAAAACTCTGTCTCAAAAAAAAAAAAAAACAACATTGTGTAGAGGCGGGGTCTTGCTATGTTGCCCAGGCTGGTCTCAAACTCTTAGCCTCAAAGACTCTTCCCACCTCAGCCTCCCAAAGTGTTGGGGTTACAGGTATGAGGCACTGTGCCCAGCCCCCATGCTGTCAACCCCATCTGTTATCATCCTTACTACATATGGTACAGTTAAAATGCAGGGGCTTTGGAGACAGCCCCTGAGTTTAAATCCCAGGTCCCCACTTTTCAGCTGTGTGATGTTAGACAAGTTATTTCCAACCTCTGAAGCCTCAGTTCTGCCTCCTCCCCACCTCCCATGACGTGAGAGTAGCATACTTCTTCTAGAAGGGTCAAGATTAAATATGATAATTACTTCACGTGGAACTGCCTAACTCTTCACACACGAGTTCTTTCGGCTTCTTCTCACGGCCCTCTCCGCCTTGTCTTTTGCCCCTCTCTTTTGCCCTCCTGCCCACGGTTAGCTGTGCCATCTCACTTTTGTTCTCAAGCCTTACTCCTCCAAGGTTTGCCCTATCAGTTGTCCTTCTCTCAGGTTCCTGCTTCTGACTCCCCTAAATGCAAAACATCGGATACCCTTCCCGGACTCTGTCTGAGTTACAGGAATCATCCCTTTCTCCCTCCTTCTACGGAAGTCCTCTCCGGGCTCCTTTCTTCTGTTCCTAGTCTCTCCTCAACCCTCTGCCACTGCAGTGAAGCTACCTCCAGAAGGTCACCAAGGCTGGGGGGCCCTTCCCCAGACACACCCCTCTTGCCTTCAACTCTGACCCTTCCCTTGTCCTTATACCCTTGGCCTTCAACACTCCTCCTTCTGCTTTTCTGACCACCTGTCTGACATCTCTTGGAGGGTCTTCTCTGGGTCGGGGAGGAGGTGAAGGCTGAGGTTTGGAGGCTCTGCCCTTGGTGCCTTCCTATCTCATCCCATCCACATGCACTTTCTCCCAGGGGAAATCCCACCCACTCCCACAGCTTCAAGGACCCTCCACACTCATCGACACCCAGCCCATCAGACCCAGCCCTGTGCATGCCCTGTACTTGCTTGCTCACCAGATATAGGAGATGAGGGGGAACGCAGGCACCCCACCCACCAGAAACAGTAGCCGCCAGTGGGGAAAACTATAGGCGATCCCCTTCAGCAACACAGTCCCCACGGCGAAGAAGCAGTGCTCCAGGATGATGGCATGGGCCCGGTGCTCGTCCATGAGCCACTCAGTGGCTGTGCAGAGAGGCAGAGAGGACAAAACCATGGTCACTTCAGGGTCCCCACAGCTGCCCCTGCATCCAGCCTTCCTGGGTATCCCCACCTGCTCTGGACAGTTGACATCAGGCAATGCTGCTTCTGCCTGTCTCTGCACTGAGTCCAGACACAGCCCCTCAGAGCCCGGAAGAGCCTCTGTTCTGCCAGGACATAGCCTTGCCTGAGCTCTCAATCATACGCAGCTTCCAACCCTCTCCACCTGGCTGCTCCCTCTGCACATCCCTGTCTGACCATGTGCCTCTCATAGAAAAGACACAAGAGCCAACATGTAGGCTGACGCACAGCCAGGCCAGGCATCACTGTCCTCATCTTTGCTCTGAGTGTGTCTGTGCTTTGGCTATCTAAGCCTAGGGCTCCCAACCAGAAGAGGGTCTCCTGCCAGGACACCCTCAGCAACCTCGCAGCTGCAGCTATAAGGCTGCCCTGGGTGCTTTAGCATCTCATAGGCCTGGGTTGAAGTCCCAGCTTCTTCACTTAGTTGCTGTGTGACTCTGTGAAAGTGGCAAACTTCTCTGAGGCTCAAGTGTCCGCCTCAGCTGAAGGAGTAATAGAATAGTGCCGGCCGAAGAGAGCATGCCAGGAGGAAATGCATATAAAGGGCTTAGCAACGGCCTGCTCTTTCTTCCCCTCCTCCTCCTTCTCCTCCTTCTCTTCTTTCTTTCTCTCTCTCTCTTTCTTCTTCTTCCTCTTCCTCCTCTTCCTCCTCTTTCTCCTTCCTTCCTTCCTTTCTCTCTCTCTCTTTCTTTCTTTCTTCTTTTTTTGCCTGGCCTTTCTTAAGGGCTCAATAAGGGTAACCCATGGGACTTGGGGGTACGTAAGGAGTATGTGGTGGAAGGTGTGGGGTATGAGGGAGTTAGGAAGGAGGATGAGGATGGAAGGGCAGCCAGGGCACTGATTCTCTGGCAACTCCAGGCAGCCAGGAGAGGAGATCCCTTACACTTTTGCCTGCCCAATTAGGCCTGGGGTCCTGTGGGCTCCCAGTAGGTGCCCGCACCACCACGCCCCGGCCACGCCCTCTTGCAGCCCTGTCCCACCCCCTTGCCTCCCACCTATGCTGCCAAGCCCCCTTTCCGCCACGCCCCTTGCCACCCCACCTATGCTGCCACGTCCCCACCACGCCCTCTTGCAGTCCTGCCCCGCCCCCTTGTCACCCGCCTATGCCGCCACGCCCCTGTGCCGCCCCACCCTGCCCATTGAGGTCCAGACTCACCCAAAGAACTGCTGCTGATGGTGTAGCCCACCACTGACTGCGAGACGGCAAAGTGAAAGAACAAATACAGGTGGAAGCTGTTCACGAAGGCTGTCCTGAAGCCGAAGATGATCAGCCCCAGCAGTGACAGCAGGATGGCAGGGAAACAGCCCATCCTACAGGCGTCAAAGGGAGGCTGCACCAAGCAACAGGACCTCATGGCTGACCCCAGCCGGATATACCTGGGCCAGGCCCTGAGCCATCCATGGGCCCCTGGAGAACCCCTACCTTTACCTCCCTCAGCCTGACACTTCAACCCTGAATGCCATGAGGAGAGGTGGGAGGCTTGGGGACCAGCAGAAATTCCCAGGGACTCACTTATCAGCTATGAGCCAGAAAACGAGTGAGCCTATCAGGAGCCCTGCCATGAACACTATATGCGGGGTGTCCTCCTTATGCTCCATGGCACATACCAAGTCAAACTGTGGGTCAGACACAGGGATCGGCCACAGGCACCCCTTTGGGTCCAGAGACTGAGCCTCACCCCAGGGTGAGGCCCATAGGCCAAGGGGACCTGGGGAAGGGCAGGTAACTGGGTGCAGCGTGCATCCGCTGATGCCTTTGCTCTATTACCTTTGCAACCCATCCCGCACAGGCTCCACCCTGAGAGCTGGGCCTGGAGAGAGTGACCAGAGGCACAGGCCAGGAGGTGTGGGGATGGAGTGGGAAACTGAGCAAAGGCAGGAGTCAGTGCAGACCCTTTCCCAAAGGCAGGTGCTAGGCCCCACCGGCAGACTCACACTAGGCTGGTCTGTGTCATGAAGGGCCTAGATGGCAGCTCAGGTTGGGAATCCCTGTAAGAGATGCCTGATCAAAGCTGCTTCTTTCCCTGAGCCCTACCTTTTGTGAGTTCTAAGGGCAAATCCACAGCTACCCTGCCATGCCACTGCTGTCTTTACCCCAAATGTACTCTATAGATAGGCAGAACCAGGGCTAGGCAGCAGGAACCCTCATTTTCTGCCCAAGCTCTACCTCTGCAGGGTGACCTCAGGCCAATTGCTTCCCATCCCTGAGCCTCAGTTTCCCCATCTGTTCGGTGAGGGTAGGAGGCACAACTCTGAGCCTGTGGGGTAGTTACAGACAACCCAGGACAAGGCATACCTCAATGATCAGCGATCGCTTCTTAGAGTCAGGATAGATCCATCCATTTCGGCATCTGTCTGTGTCATTGAGGCCAAAGTGGATGATAGAATCCAGACTCCAGGGCACAGGAAGGTACATGAGGCAGGTCAGGAAACTGCCGTTGGGTGCCCGGGGTATGGTCAGATTCAGCTGCTCAGCTTCGGACAGGTGGGGGCCCACTGCCAGGATCCAGCTGGTGTTGCAATAGGGCTTCTGGGCTGTGAACACGAAGTGGTCAGCAAACGTGAAGAAGGCCGACAGGATGCTGGGGATAAAGGTGAGGGCCACCAGCCTCAGTGGAAGGTGCCGAACTCCCCCACTGCAACCAGGAGGTTGGCAAACTTGTCATCCTGCTTGGTGGTGACACCCCTCAATCTGCGTAACAGCATCTTCAGAAGCCGGGAATATGGATGCCCTGCTGCTTCACACCCCTTCAAGTTCTTGGGAGCATCCTGGGATCTGAGCTCCTCCTTGAAGTTCTCTCCTGCCATCTGTCCAGAGAAAGTGTGCAGCTCAGTCTCTGCTGACACCACTTCCTAAACATCAAGACTAGCATGGGAGCCACTGACCAGGAATTGGCCTCTGGCTTGAAGCAATCTGGAGTCCAACCTTGACCTTCTCAGTAGTTCCCTCACTTGCTTTCTTAATTAATAGGATTTATTCCCCACTGACCCAACCATCCAGGTTTTTTAGTATAATTAAGATTTTTAATGTTTTAGAAAATGCTGTGCTGCTGTTGTCACGAAGGACTAAGCTCTGAGGAAGAAGAACTCTCTCCTTCAACTTCTCCGCAAATGAAACTTTTTGTTTACACACACTGAGGCACCAATGGGCTTCCAAGGGGTAGGAGAGGTCCCTAGGGATCTTTTCTTCAAAAATAAAGGTCTGCATCAGCATCAGCTGGGCCCAAGGTGGAAGGCTGGAAGCCTGGGCCACCAAGGTGGGTCACCAAGGCTCGTGCCCTGGTGCAGTGGTAGAGCAGGAGCCAAACTGGGAAGGCAGGCACGGGGAAGGAGGAAGGGGAGTGATACTGACTGTAAGTGTCTTACAACAGCAGCAAGAAGGGGATATTAAGCTTAAAATTCTGTTTTGAGCCAAACCCTCAACAGGCCTAACAGTTCCTGGTGTGGGGCATCCCTTGGCTCCGAGCAGAGGCAGAAGCGAGTCTTCTGTGCAGGAAAATTTCTTCAAGTTGATTCTGCAAGATTCTTACAGATGAACATCAAGCAAAGACGTTGCACCTTGAGAAGGCAAGCCGCTCTAAGAGTCAACAGAACCCAGAAACCACAGACTTTTAGACTACAGATGTTCAAAGTGTCAGATACAAAATTTAGAATAGCTATTGTATGAACTTTTTAAGGAAATGAAAGCTGTAATACAAAAATGAACTTACAACAACAATCAGGAAAAAGCAGACACCTTGGGAAGGAAGATGAGGAACTTTTAAAAATGAAAGCTTGCTGAATGGCAAGTTGTTGTCTTTGTTGAGATGAAAACGCTAAGAGAAAGTTATATTTGACACAAAGTATCAGTGAACCGGAATAAACTGCTGAAATGCAAGAGACAGGTCAGGAAACTTGGTAGGTCCAAGATTTAATGTGTATCTAATTGGAAGCCCACAAGAAGAAATGGGAAGCATTAAAAAAATAAAAAGAATACCTTTTCTAAAACTTTTAAAACAAATTCTTAGGTCCAGGAAATGTAACTTATCTCCAGCAGGATAAATAAAAATAAACCCACGGCTAGACACATTGCCGTGAAGCTGCAAGACACCAATGACAAAGAAAAGATCTTGAAAATCAGCTGGAGAGAAGACAGGCCACTGACTAATGAACAGCCTCAGCAGTCTCCCATTAGAAGCAGGCACAGGCAAGTAGATCGCTTGAGCCCGGGGGTTCAAGACCAGCCTAGGCAACACAGTGAAACCCTGTCTCTACAAGAAAAAAAAAAAAAAAAAAAAAAAACCACTTAGCCAGGATTGATGGCATGTGCCTGTGATCTTAGCTGCTCAGGGCTGAGGTGGAAGGATCACCTGAGCCCAGGGAGGTTGAGGCTGCAGTGAGCCATGATCATGCCACTGCACTCCAGCCTGGGTAATAGAGCAAGACCCTGTCTCAAAAAAAAAAAAAAAAGGAAAAAAGCACTTCGGGAGGCCAAGGCAGGCGGATCACCTGCATTTGGGAGTTCAAGACCAGCCTGACCAACAGGGAGAAACCCCGTCTCTACTAAAAATAAAAAATTAGCTGGGTGTGGTGGTGCATGCCTGTAATCTCAGCTGCTCGAGAGGCTGAGGCAAGAGAATCACTTGAACTCAGGAGGTGGAGATTGTGGTGAGGTGAGATAGTGTCATTGCACTCCAGCCTGGGCAATAAGAGTGAAGCTCTGTATTTAAAAAAAAAAAAAAAAAAAAAGAGACCAAGACGACGAAAGTTAAACAACAAGGAAACCAGGAGAGTGAAGAATATTTTCGAACTGTGGATGGAAAATTATAGACCACCTAGAATGTATACCCAGCAAAATTGTCTCTCAAGAGCTAGGGTAAAATAAAGATAATTATAGGCCAGGTGCAGTGGCTCACGCCTGTAATCCCAGCACTTTGGGAGGCCAAGGCGGGTGGATCACGAGGTCAAGAGATCGAGACCATCCTGGTCAACATGGTGAAACCCCGTCTCTACTAAAAATACAAAAAAATTTAGCTGGGCATGGTGGCGCATGCCTGTAATCCCAGCTTCTCGGGAGGCTGAGGCAGGAGAATTGCCTGAACCCAAGATGCTTAGGTTGCGGTGAGCCGAGATCCTGCCATTGCACTGCAGCCTGGGTAACAAGAGCGAAACTCCGTCTCAAAAAAAAAACAAAAGATAATTATAGAGATAACTAGAAATTGAGACAACACACAAGCAAGAGACCTGATTTGATTAAACTTTTAAAAGAAAAGAAAAGAAAGACTAAATTTTAAAAGAAAAAAGGGTGCTGGCTTTGGCAGCACATATACTAAAATTGGAATGATATAACGAAGATTAGCATGACCTCTGCACAAGGATGACACACACATTTGTGAAGGGCTCATATTTAAATAATAAATAAATAAAAGATAAGAAGAAAAATGTCTCTGGAGGACAGCTGGAGATGCAAAAAATGAGCAGTCAAAATGGGAAACGTGTGCAAATTCAAATATTGATTGTATTAGATAAATATAATCATTGAGATTGTATTGCATCTACAGTGGGGAAGAATTTGTATCTTAAGAACGATATTGAGTCTTCTAACCCATGAGCATGGAATGATGATAGATAGAGCTGGTAGAGATAGAGATAACTCCATATGTTTTTAAGTTAAAAAAAAAAACTTGTGAATACATCACAAGTTAAAGAAGAAATCACGGTGGAAGATTACAAATATTTATAAATGAATGATAATAAGAACCATAACATATCAAAACGTATGGGCAGTATAAAAAGTGGCACTTGTGTGTAGTTTATAGCTTTAAGTGCTTTATAATAGAAAATCGTAAAGACTGAAAATTAATCAACTAAACACCCATTATAGGAAGTGGGAAAAAACACAAAGGAATAAATCTAAAGAAAGTAGAGGAAGGAGGGAGTAAAGTCACGACAAAAATAGAGGAACTAGAAACAGAAGTATAAGAAAGGAAATCAAAGTTCAAAGTCAGTCCTTGAATAGGGATAGACAAACCTTGAGGGAAATTATGTAAAAACATTTTTAAAAGACAGAAGGTACAAATAAGTCTTTTACATATGCAAAAAGGAATATACAGATATAGCAAGACTGAAAATATTAACTGGATACTAACATCAACTTTATACCAATGAATCTGAAAACTCAGATTATTAAATCCCTAAAACGAAATTACTCAAAACAGATTTAAGAATAAATGGAAAGTCTTAAAAGTTCTATAATGACTAAATTAAAGTAGAAGTAAAAAATCTTCTTACAAAGTAAGTGCCTGACTACCAAACCTTCTTTTTTTTTATTTTATTTTATTTTTTCTTTTGGCAAGATTAGAAAACAAGACTACCAAACTTTCATGGGACAGATCATTCCCATGTATACAATTTATTTTCAGGGAATAGGAAAATATATATACTCCCAAAGAATTTTACTCTGATAGCACGACTAGAAAAGTACAGTACAAAAAAGGAAATCACAGATATATTTTATTAATAAAAATGGATGCAAAAACTCTAAATACAATGTCAGTAAATCAAATTTAATAGCATATTAAGAGAAAAATATATCACAGTAAAGACAGTTTTTATTTTATCTTTGAGACAGTGTCTCACTTGGTCACCTAGGCTAGAGTGCAGTGGCACAACCTCAGCTCACAGCAGCCTTGACCTCCCAGGCTCAAGCAATCTTCCTACCTCAGCCCCCTGAATAGGTGAGACTACAGGCACACCCACCACACCTGGCTAATTTTTATATTTTCTGTAGAGACAAGATCTTGCAATGTTGTCCAGGCTGGTCTCAAACTCCTGAGCTCAAGCAATCTGCCTGCCTTGGCAGTCTGCCACCATGCATGGCCAATTAAAAACAGTTTTAACCAGAAATGCAAAGATGGTTTTACTATTATAAAATATATAAATACTTATATAAGTAATAGATCAATACTTAATAGATCAATGGAGAAGACCATATGATCATGCTTATAGATGCAGAAAATGCATTTGATTGAATTTGACAATTTGTGATTTTTAAAGAAAAATCCTAAGAAAAATGAGAAATTCTTTGATTTAATAACAAAAACTATCTCCCTCCCAAAAAAATCCTAAAAGGGAAACATTAAAATTATCCCTTTCAAAATCAGAGTAAAGGCAAAGATGCCCACACTTACTCAACGTTATACTGGGTGGCCCTAGCCAGTGCAGTGAGATAAGAGATAAGAAAGAGAATGAAAGGCATAAGATTTAAAAGAAAATAAAATCCAAAAGAATCTACAGATAACTAGAAACAAGAGGAGAGCTTAGCAAGGTAGCTGCTAATAATGTGAGTACATAAAAGTCAATTGCATTTCTGTAAACGTAATTTGTGAAAGTATGCCACTCAGTAAGAAAATCTTCAAAGTCACTCAAAATTTTCTGAAATGCTAATGACGGTAATACTATGATAGCATTTCTCACCTATCACACTGGCGCATTTTGTTGATGGGAAGGCAAACCGGTACAACCTTTCTGAAGGACAACTTGGCAATACCTGATAAGAAAGAATGAGTTAACCCAGACGCCCTGATATGTTTACGTCTTGCACATGCTCAGAAAGAACTGCTTGAGTGATTCATCCTTGGCTGACTCTGGAACTGAACTTTTGGAGTGTTCTCTGTGCTACCTTTAAGAGTGTTTGGGGCCAGGTGCAGTGACTCATGCCTGTACTCCCAGCACTGGGGAGGCTGAGGCGGGAGAATTGGTTGAGGTCTGGAGTTCAAGACCAGCCTACACAATATAGCAAGACATCCCCACCCCTATCTCTAAATAAACAATAAAAAATTACCCAGGCATGATGGAATATGCCTATAGTCCCAGCCCCCTTGGGAGGCTGAGCCACTCCTGATAGCTTGAGCCCAGGAGTTTGAGGCTGCAGTGAGCAAGACCTTATCTCTAAAAATAAGTTTAAAAAGAATGTTTGGCATGGTTGGAAGTGTCAGCCATGGTGTACCAGCTTTCCAGATAGCTCATGTCTTATACTGAACAGCCTTCCTGCTTGGGTTCTGAAACTGGGCAATGAAGTTTCAGTAATTACGGTTAGTCACAAAGGCACTGTGTGGCTTCATGCTCAACCCCCAGGAAAAATGCTGAGCTCTCGGGCTCAGAGAGAGTCCCTGGCAGAAAAGACTTCAAACAGGCTGTTGCAGGTCACTGCTGGGAGAGTAAGGGCGTCCTGTGTACTTTCATTTGGAGAAGATAATACCAGTATCCTCCAGACTCCACCCTATGTGCCTTTTCCCCTTATTGACCTTGCATTGTACCCTTTTGTTGCAATAAATTGTAGTAGTGTGTATAATCACTTCTTTTTGAGACAGAATCTCGCTCTGTCATCCAGGCTGGAATGCAGTGGTGTGATCATGGCTCACTGCAACCTCTGCCTCCCAGGTTCAACTGATACTCCTGCCTCAGCTTCCCAAGTAGCTGTGACAACAGGCACATGCCACCAAACCTGGCTAATTTTGTATTTTTGGTAGAGGCAAGGTTTTACCATATGTCCATGCTGGTCTCAAACTCCTTACCTCAGGTGATCTGCCCACCTTGACCTCCCAAAACTCTGGGATTACAGGCATGAGCCATCACACCCAGCGCTATAATAACTTTTGAGGCCCATGAATGCTTCTGGTGAATCACAGGGCCTGGGGGCAGCCCTACAGACCACCGATACCCCTAAAAAACATGTATACACTTACTTTTTGATTTAGCAATCTCACTTCTGGGAATTCACCCCAAAGACACACTTTCAACAATAAGAACATACACGTGTACAAGATTATTTGCACAGCAGCATTGATTGTATTGCAAAATATTGGGAACAACCTAAATATCCATATACATAAGAGACTAGTTGGGTAAACAGTGGAATAGCCACTTAGTGCAACACTAGAGCTGGCGCAGTGCCTGTCACCTGTAATCCCAGCACTTTGGGAGGCTGAGGGAGGAGGATTGCTTGAGCCCAGGAGTTCAAGACCAGCCTGGCCAACAAAATAAGACCCCATCTCTACAATACATAAAATAATTAGCCAGGTGTAGTGGTGCGTGCTGTTAGTCCCAGCTACTCGGAAGGCTAAAGCAGGAGGGTCACTTGAGCCCAGGAGACTAAAGCTGCAGAGAGCTATGACTGCTCCACTGTACTCCACCCTGGGTGACAGGGTGAGGCCATCTCAAAACAAAACAAAACACAGTGATATTACGCAGCTGTCAAAAAGAACGAGGAAAATGTCTATTCATTGATACGGAATGATTTCCAGACCATATTGGAAAGTGAAGAGAGCAAATGCTGGAGTAGCTCTAGTAAGCTGCTCTTCATGTAATAAAAGGGGATGTAGGAATATACATATATCTGGTCATTTGTGAAAAAAGCCACAGGAGGATAAGTCACAAACTAATGAGATTGATTATCTCTGGGGGTGAGTGGGTGGGAATGGGCGAGAAGAATGAGGGAATGGAATGGGGTAGATGGGATGGGAGGGGAGGGACAGTTCTCTGAGCGTAGCTTTTTGTGGAATTCTCAATTTAGAACCTTAGCAAGGTTTCACATACGCCCCTATCCCCAAATAAGTAATTAATTAAAACCAATCTGTACACAGAAGTAATCCAAACAGCAGCAAATAAACCTAACGTAATACAAATAACCATTAGAACTGCATTGAAAAGGATGGGAAGACGAGGGCTAACCTAAGTCACTTTGAAAAATAGTGTATCAACTACATATTGTAAAGCCAACAACGAAAAGAACTGTACACAAGTATTGTTGCCCTACGTAGCAAATTTGCTGTTCACAGAGATGGATTTGCAGTTCTGAAACTGAGTGTATGCTCTATATAAGCAAATAAGTAACTATACTGTAGATAATAAGTGCTAGGTTTCTGTTAGAGAAAAAAGTTACAAGAAAGGACAGGGAGGCTGGGTGCGGTGGCTCACACCTGTAATCCCAACACTTTGGAGGCCAAGACAGGTGGATCAGCTGAGGTCAGGAGTTCAAGATCAGCCTGGCCAACATGGTGAAACCCCATCTCTACTAAAAAATACAAAAATTAGCTGGATATGGTGGCATGTACCTGTAATCCCAGCTACTCTGGAGGCTGAGGCAGGAGAATTGCTTGAACCCAGGAGGCAGAGGTTTTAGTGAGCCGAGATGGCACCACTGCACTCCAGCTTGGGTGACAGAGTGAGACTCTGTCTAAAAAACAAAGAAACACACACACACATGCACACACACACACACACACACACGCACGATGGAGAAGACTAGAATAAAGACTGTGGTGTTGTAATGGAACCAAAGGTGCCAGAATGGACTCATGATAGATTGACTGATAGACAGACAGACAGACAGACAATGTGTACATGTCTAT